TTGGGTTATGTTTTTGTAAGTCAAGGAATTTCACGAAAAAGAAGGGAGACAAAAAGTGTAAGATGAGGAAGAGACATAAAGGTTGAAAAGAAAGTCAAGAACTGAAAAAGATTATTAAAATGAATGCCAATTACACCAAACCTTTAGATAAAGGCAGAGCCTTGCTGGTGGTTGGCTCAGCATGTAAGTTTGACCTTCCTGGCTCTCTGCCCTACACAGCACTGTCAGTTTTAATAAGCCGAAATCCCGTAGCTACAAGCGAGACTAATCAAACTGCAGAGAGCAGCCTGTTCCTAATCAGGAAGGCACAGGGTAATCATTTAACTCTCTGGTTTCTCAGTGAGCTCCAAGCTGCCTCTGCAGAAAAAAAACATTCTGGATAAGAGAGTTGCTTACATGATCTAGCCTTGACCCTTTGATGGCCTTTGTTTGAAATTCTATTAAAATACTTTAATTATACAAGTATTTGGTTAAAAAAAAGGTTTTAGAAGAATCCTTTCTCCTTTGTTATTTATTCCTTTACTTTATTCTCATGGAATAAAAATAGGAAGGAGCTCTGGTAGTGCAGTGCCCAAGGCATTTGACTGCTAACCAGAAAGTTGGCAATTCAAAGCCACCAGCCACTCTGTGGAAGGAAGATGCGGCAATCTACTTCTGTAAAGATTTACTGCCTTGGAAATCCAATGGGGGGTTTTCTGAGTCAGAATCAACTAATGGCCGTGGTTTTTTTTTTTTTTTTTTTGTTTTAAGCCATATAGGAAACCTCAGACTCCTACTGACTACCCAAGAGTTCACTTGAATTGATCCAAACCCATTCAAAACCATCTAGGTTGTGGCTATAGTCCCAAACTGGGGGACATTTTCTTTGTTGGTTACCAGGGGGGGGGGGGGGGGGGGGGGGAGGGTGCTGGGGACATGGAATGCCTATGTATGTCACCATGGTACCATGGGCTATGCAAGCCAGGTATTCCCCACTGGGAGTGGGAGCCAGTGTCGAGCTGCAGCAAGGCTCCTAAAGTACCCTATACCTCAAGCCAGAGGTCATTCTATTCAGATTTTGTCTCTTAGCCCCTTCAACCCAGGAGTCCTGAGACACAAGTCTGTAAGAAGTCATTTAGGATAATGGTTAACACTGAGATTTGATTAGACAGTGCTAGAGTCAAATCTGAGAACTGACTACTTCAGAGGCTACTCAACCTTCCTAAAACTCAGTTCTGTAACACAGGACTAGTAATATCTTCACTTCCAAGTGATGCTCTAAGGGTCAATGAGATATATATGGAAAGCATTTACTAAGGAGACTGCCACATTAAAAATGCTCCTTTGATTGTGGTTATTATTATTTTTATTATGTGCTAACATTACCTTCAGGCCTCTAAGTATATAATTTAAAGAGAGAGGTAAGGGAATCTTTATAATGTGTATCATTGAAAAACATCTTTTTGGATTCTGCATTTAACATGAGTGCATTAAAACAGTGACCACAGATGGAATCAATGTAGAAAAATACTATTTTCCAGTGAGAAATCTCTAGAACATTTCTGGTACCATGGAAATTTAATATTTTATTTAAAAGACTCTCTATATTTATAGGAAGAAATACACAGTTATTTTTTTTAATTAAAAATGTTTATTAGCTATTGCCTTTAATAGATTTATTACATTGAAGAAACTTTTTTCAAATGTGCTAATAAGAAAAAGACCAGGAAGTTGAACAATGTTGGGCAGAATTTCAGAGTTTTGGACATAAATAAAACCCATAAATTTTATATGGATCTTGGGATATTTATTGATATTCTTCCAACTCGATAGATTTGGCACTAAACAGGAATATGAACATATGAATATAGCCAATCCATTTACATTTCAAAACAATCTGATCTTGAGAACAGAAACTCTGTCTTCTGTAAGTACCTCTTGCCATTCACAGAGAGATTATAGGAATTTCCATGAATTCAAAACTTATAACTACCACTAATAAAAGAAAGGCACATAGATGAACTCCCAACACACAAAAGCATAGGGACCACAAAATAATTTAAAACAGTGCTCAGTAATGCCCACTGAAATAATGAACAGCAAAATATAGCACAAAAATGTAAAACAAATGCATTTCTCCCCCTATAAAAAAGGCAGCTCTTTTTCCTTTTATTGATATTTTTACAAAAACTATATATGCATGTGTATGTATGTGTATTCTTTATAGAAAACTTGAAAAATACAGAAAAGCACAAAGAACAAAACAAAAATCATCTGGCATGACATCAACATAAATGTCACTCCTATAGAAAGAGCAGAAAAAAATATGTAGATTTAGAGATAACATGGAAGGCCTTCCCAGCCTCAGGATATGCTGAGCCAACTCACTAAATGCTTCAACATGCACAGGACAAAGCTTCCTTTAGGTTCTCTACTATTGCCTGACTCCTGGCCAGTAGTGGTCAATAACAAGGACAAAACCAAATTAAACCCACTGCCATCAACTTGATTCCAACTCATAGTGACCTTATAAAACAGAGTAGAACTGCCCCATAGGGCTTCCAAGGCTGTACATCTTTATGGAAGCAGATTGCCACATCTTTCTCCCATGGAGTGGTTGGTGGGTTTAAAGTGCCAGTGGGTTTGAACAACCAACCTTTTGATTATATTGTATATCTGCTTTAACTACTACACAGCAGAGCTCCTTAAGGAGGAAAAGTAAGGCTACAATTCAAATCTAAAACTTTTTGTTCCCCAAATAGTAGAGTTAGGCAGAATCTTAGAAGTTAATTTAGCCCTATCCATTATCTTAAGGAGCTCTGGTGGCACTGTGGTTAAAGCATTGGGCTGCTAACCAAAAGGTTAGCAGTTCAAACCCACCAGCTGCTCTATGAGAGAAAGATGAAGTAGTCTGTGTCTGTAAAGATTTACAGCCTTGGAAACCCTATGGGGGCAGTTCTACTCTGTCCTATAGGGTCACTATGAGTTGGAATCAACTCGATGGCAGTGGGTTTGGGTTTGGGTTGTATTCACTATCCTTGTCCCCATTTATCCAGGAGGAAATAGGCAAGGGGAGGCTGACTGATTTGCCCAGGCATCACAGCTGAGTAGGACTGAAACCTGATCCTATAATTGCAAGGCCAGGGCAAGTGAACACACTATGAATGAATCTCCACCAGTGACTGGGCCTGTCAGTCTGTGGTTAGACTACTGATGAGGCTGCAGGCCAGGCCGGAGTGGATCCGTATGACCAGAGGAAAGCAGCCTCGCAAACTTTCAGCTCCTAAAGGCAATCACATCAGCTCTAGGGGACATAAGTCACAAATAAATCATGTGGCCAACTGAAGGAATGTAAACTGGGCCAATTGATCTCAGGAGCAATGTGTGAACCCACATTTCAAAGATGCAATGCTGGTTAAGTCACAAGAGGTATTTTGTTGATTGCCCTGCCAGGGCGTCCTGGAAGACGGAATGTATAAAAGAGCCCTCTGAGTGTATGTGGGTCAAAAGAAAACTCTGGACTCAGCCATGTTCCTTCTTCGTCAACAGGCATGTGTCCACAGTGATCACACTACTCACAGCCAGTCATCCATCTGTCTACAGTCCCCAGTCCAACTCAGTGGTACTTTAGAATCTCATCATCTCTACTTCAAGGCAGTTCTCTCGTCTAAAGATTTTGTCTTTAATGACTAAATGAGTCTCTATTGGCTAAAAGAGTAATAAGCCCAGAAATGTTAAAGGTCCTGGTTCAATTCCTGTTGATCAATCCAGGTCATTTAAGTCTGTAGAAGAAATCTCTGTAGCCTGATGAGGAAAGAGTTTGGAACAAACACTGCTTACTGGAACATACCTTTTTCTTTTACTATTCTTCCAACATGTAACAGCTGTACTGGCTCTATGTTAAGAGTCGGATGTGTTTTGAAAAAAAGGGACAATTTCAGTGAATGCTACACCATGTACAATTTTACAACAACAGTAAAAACAACCAAAAATATGTGTGGTTTTGTAGGAAGATATGGATACATATTATGTGCATAAAGAGGCATATGAGAGTACATGTACATGCATGCATACACCTATTGTTGTATAGGTGTATGCATGCATGTATCTGTAGACATATATACACAAACATTTGTGTGTGCTAATATATAACCATACATATAATACATAGGGTGCACAGTTACGGAAGCTTCCTAGATATATCCAAACAATTAGAAGGACTGGTTTACTGGGTTAAAAGGCTGGGGACCATAGCTTAAGGAGGGAGGGGGGGAAAACTCAGCCAACTTGCATAAAATAGTTCATAAAGATAACGTCCTAGTTTGGTTAAGCAGTATATGGAGCCTTAAAAGCTTGAGATACAACTATTAGCCCCTACTTGTATGGAGCAAAAGAGAATGAAGGAAATCAAAGGCTCAAAGAAGAATCTAGTCCATGGGACTAAATAGCCTACATGAACCTTGCTAACCTGAGACCAAATGTACCAGATGGTGCCAGGCTACTACTACTGACCATTCTAAGCAGGGACACAATAGAAACTCATGAACAGAATGGGAGAAAAACGTAGAACAAAATTCAAATTCCTAAGGAAGGCCAGACCTACAGGACGGATAGACTAGAGTAATCACTGAGACTACTGCCCAACATAATCTTTGAACTAGGAATTGAAGCTGTATCTGCAGGTCAACTTTTAGCCAAATGAAAGACTGGCTTATAAAATAAACAGTATCACCCATTGGTAATATGCTCTCTTACACCATTAATTGTACAGCAGCAAACAGTCAACATTTACCCAAAAGCAAAGATGAGATGGCAAGGAGGGGAATGGAAGCTATAATAGTGGAAAGAGAATAAACTGAATGAAAAACAAATAGAATGTGAAAACTGTAACCAATGGCACAAAACAATTTGTATAAAAATTGTTAAAGGTGAAAAGGTGAACCTCATTTGCTTTGTAAACTATCACCTAAAACACAATACAATATTATTAAAAAAAAAAAAGTCAACTGTGTTTGTAGGTCTCAAGACGCTTGCCTGAGGATGAGCTCTTTCAGCTGTGCCAGTTTGTCACTTTTTAGTGCTTCACGGATGGAGTGGAAAAATCCAAAGTAATGTTCAAAGTTGTGCATCATGAGCAGGACGCTGGCCAGCAGTTCGTTGGTCACCAGCAGATGGTGGATGTAAGCACGAGTGTGATTCTTACAGCAGTAACAGGAACACCCTCTCACCAACGGGTCGAAGTCCTCCTGGTACCTGAGAAAAGTCACCATGACATTCCAGAAAGTGAGGAATAAAAGGAATCTACAACCTAGACTGTCTCTTCTGCTAGTGCAGTAACCAGTGTTGAACAACACTGCTGGAAAAGGCTCAGTGCTAGGTGCCTTTTAAGATGGCAACATGGTCAAAAGTTAACAAAGAGCTGCAACACCAATGAATCTTGAACATTATACCAGACATAAAAGAACAAATATTGTATTATCCACTTATAAGAAACATCTAAAATAGGCAAATGCATCGAGACAGAAAGTACATCAGAAGTTACAAGGGGGTGGGAGGAGGGGGCAATGCTTAATGGGTAGTTTCTGTTTGGGGTTATAAAAAAAGGTTTCAAAATAAGATAGTGATGATGGGTATACAACATTGTGAATTTAATCAATCTACTGAACTATATGGAAGCTCTGGTAGCATAGTGCCTAAAGGCACTTGACTGCTAACCAGAAGGCTGACAGTTCAAACCCACCAGCCACTCCTCAGAAGGAAGATGGGGCAATCTACTTCCGTAGTGATACTGCCTCGGAAACCCAAGGAGGGGTCACTATGAGTCGGATCTGACTCAATGGCACATAACAACAACAACAACTGAACTATATACTTCAAAATAGTTAAAATGGCAAATGTTATGTAACAGATATTTTACCACTATGATAATAATAAAAAGTTAACCATGTGCACAATAAATCATGGAGACTGAGGAGTTTTTCTCTGACAGAAGCAACCTCCAAGACTGAGAGTTACAAAAGACCATCAAAAGATATTCACTCAATCATTCATTCATATCGAGCATTGATAGTCACACTGCAAAGGCACATAAATAATTAAGAAATGCTATTCTGGGTGAATGGTACCTCTCTCCCACTTGCCATCAGAACTGTATCAGAAGACATGGTCTCACCTTATATACTTGCACAGTTTGCAGTTTACAAAGCACTTTCACACACTGCTCCATTTAATCTCAACAAAAACCCTTGGAGATAGCTACTTTTATTGTCATTTTACAGATGAAGAAAAAAGGCTACTATATATAAGGCATAAGAGGGAAGGCTCGGTAGCTTCAATTTCTGACTCCTCAATCTACCAAAGCAAGTCACCTAACCTTTCTCTGTGCATGCATTTTCCCATCTGTGAATCAAGTGTAATAACAGTGCCTATCGCACAGAGCTCTTGTGAGGAATAAGTCAATAAAGACCTTGATCACTGTGGCATATATGAGGCACTAGATACGTCTTATTTTTATCAGCTATTAAAGAGTGGTTAAGTGATATGACCAAGGTCACACACTCAAGAGCACTGTTGGATTTGAATTTCAGTCTCCAAAACTTCAAATCTAGTGCCGATAACAAGTACACTACAATTTCCAATTAAATCTATAACATAAAGGAATATTTAGTAGTAACAGTTTATATTGCTGTAATATCTTAAAAACAGAATTTCCTGAGTTATTTTCTGTGAATTTAAATGTGGTTGTCCTTGTTGTTAGGTGCTGTCAAGTTGGTTCTGACTCTCAGTGACCCTGTGCACAAAAGAACAAAACACTGCTTGGTCCTGCGCCATCCTCACAATCATTGCTATGTTTGAGCCCATTGTTGCAGTCACTGTGTCAATCTCTCAATGAGGGACTTCCTCTTTTCAGCTGACTCTCTACTTTACCAAATATAATGTCCTTTTCCAGAGTCTGCACCTTCTTGGTAACATATCCAAGTGTGTGAGATAAAATCTCTTCTAAGGAACATCCTGGCTATCCCTCTTCCCAGATAGATTTGCTTCTTCTTTTGACAGTCCCTGGCATATGCAATACTCTTTGGCAATACCAAAATTCAAATGCTTCAATTCTCCTTCCTTCTTCCTTATTCACTGTCCATCTTCCACATGCATGTAAGGCAACTGAAAATAACATGGGCTGGGTCAGGCACATCCTAGTCCTCAAAGGGACATCTTTGCTCTTTAACACCTATAAAAGGTCTTTTGCGGATTTGCCCAATGCAATAAGTCGTTTGATTTCCTGACTGCTGCTTCCATGGTCATTGATTATGGATCCAAGTAAAATGAAATCCTTGACAATTTCATTCTTTTTTCTGTTTATTATAATGCTGCTTATTTGTCTAGTTGTGAGCATTTCAGTTTTATTTATGTTGAGGTGCAATCCATATTGAAGGCTGTAGTCTTTGATTTTCATCACTAAGTGCTTCAACTCCTCCTCACTTTCAGCAAGCAAGGTTGTGCCATCTGCATATCATAAGTGGTTAATAAGTCTTCCTCCAATCTTGATGCCAGTTCTTCTTCATATAGCCCCCATTCTTGGATTATTTGCTCAGCATACAGACTGAATTTGTTGTTGTTGTTAAGTGCCATCGAGTCGTTTCCAACTCATAGCGACCCCATGCACAGCAGAATGAAATACTGCCCGATCCCGCGCCAGCCCCACAATCCCCACTATACTTGAGCTCATCATCGCAGCCACTGTGTCAATCCATCTCATTGAAGGCCTCCCCCTCTTTCGTCGACCCTCCACCCTACCAAGCATGACATCCTTCTCCAGGGAATCGTTCCTTCTGACAACATGACCAAAATAGGTGAGACGAAGTCTGGCCATTCTTGCTTCCAAGGAGCATTCTGGCTGCACTTCCTCCAGGACAGATCTGTTAGTTCTTTTAGCAGTCCATGGTACTTTCAGCATTCTCCACCAGCACCACAACTCAAAAGCATCAACTCTTCTTCGGTCTTCCTTATTCATTGTCCAGCTCTCACATGCATATGAGGCGATTGGAAATATCATGGCTTATGTCAGGCGTACCTTAGTCCTCAAGGAGATATCCTTGCTCCTCAGCACTTGAAACAGTTCCTTCACAGTTGACTTCCCCAATGCTACACATCGTCTAATGTCCTGACTGCTGCTTCTGTTGGCATCGATTGTAGAACCAAGCAACACGAATTCTTTGACAACCTCAATCTTCTCTCCATTTATTGTGATGCTGCTCATTGGTCCAGTTGTGAGGATTTTTGTTTTCTTTGTATTGAGACGCAATCCATACTGCAGACTGTATTCTTCAACCTTCATCAGCAGGTGCCTTAAGTCATCCTCACTTTCAGTAAGCAAAGTTGTATCGTCTGCATATCTCAGGTTGCTAATGATTCTTCCTCCAATCCTGATACCACGTTTTTCTTCATATAGTCCAGCTTCTCGGATTATTTGCTCAGCATATAGATTGAATAAGTGTGGAGAAAGGATACAACCCTGACGCACTCCCTTCTTGATTTTAAACCATGTAGTGTCCCCTTGTTCTGTTCGAACGACAGCCTCCTGGTTAAGGTACAGATTCCTCATGAGTACAATCAAGTGCTCGGGAATTCCCATTCTTCTCAATGTTATCCATAATTTGTCATGATCCACACAATCAAATGCCTTTGCATAGTCAATAAAACACAAGTAAACATCTTTCTGGTATTCTTTGCCTTGAGCCAAGATCCATCTGACAACAGCTATGATATCCTTTGTTCCACATCCTCTTCTGAATCTGGCTTGAACCTCTGGAAGTTCTCTGTCAATATACTGCTGCAAACATTTCTGAATTATCTTCAGTAAGATCAGACTGAATAAATATGGTGAAAGACTACAACCCGATGTACAACTTTCCCAATCTTAAACCACGCAGTATCCCATCGTGGTGAGGGAAGCTCTGGTGGCATAGTGTCTAAAGCATGTGACTGCTAACCAGAAGGCTGGTGGTTCAAATCCACCAGTCACTCCTCAGAAAGAAGACTGGGCAATCTACTTCCATAAAGATACCACCTTGGAAACCCAAGGAGGGGTTACTATGAGTCGAATCAACTTGATGGCAGTGAGTTTGGTTTTTATTTTGGTATCCCCTTGCTCTGTTCAAATAACCACCTCTTGGTCCATGTGACAGTCATCACCATTTCAGATGTACATTTAAGAAACCCTTCTAGAATATAGGTAAGAACAGAATTTTTACATTCTTTCATCAATTGTTAAATCTGTACTATTACTGCAGACATAAATAAGTCTGGATCCCTAGTACATTCCACTGCATAAGAGGAAAAGCACTCAGCCCTACAGTGAGTACCCTAAACTCAGAGAAACCAGTCATGGGTCCACCGATTATTACCATTTTTAGCCAAACACAAAGCTAGGAAATACCTTAGTTCATTCTTGATAGAAGCAAATATTTTTTAAAGATTTATAACCTGTATATAACTTTAATGTTTAAGTCTCTTAAACATTAAAAACTTTGTTGTGTTTTAGTTTAAAATCCTTTTATGTTCTGTCATTAAACTATTAACTCAAAAATCCATTGCCATCAAGTCAGTTCCAACTCATAGAGACACTATCAGACAGAGTGGATATCCACTCTGTCCCACAAGGTTCCTAAGGCTGTAAATCTTTATGGAAGCAGACTGTCTCATCTTTTTCCCACTGAGCAGCTGGTGGGTTTGAATTGCCAACCTTTTAGTTAGCAGCCAAGCGTTTAACCACTGTGCCACCAGGGCTCCTTACAGTTAAAATATTAGGAAGGAATAAAAGACACCAAACACAATGGATTTGGTATAACCTTTCTGAAAGCTTTTCTAAAGCAATAGTTATCTAACCTTAGTTTTCCGATAAAATACACAAACTCATTTGCAGAAAAAATATTTTACCAGAACGAAACTTGAGAAGGACAAAATAATATGTAGGTATAAATATTCAAAAAAGTCATAAACTGAAAAAGGAACAGGTATATAAACTTTTAAAACAGACTAAAATAAGAAAGTCAATCACAATCCAAAATTTTAAAAAATTCCTTACTTTTTTTCCTTCAGATTAATTTCAAATGATGTCATTTCTTGGGTGCAATCAGTTGTTTTAATTTTCTCTGTTTGATCTTGATATTTTACTTCTTCTTGTGTATCATTTTGTTGTAGCACTGAAGGACAAACCAATAAACATTGTGAATGAAGATCAGATAAGGAGTAACCATTGGAAGAACTTTATTTCATACCCTTTGACCTCTTAATTCCACTCCTAAGAATTTATTCTAAGGAATCACAAGAAAAATAGCAATTATGTACCAAGATGGTCACTGACCTTTTATCTACAATATCAAAACAATTTATAGATCCAACAATATCTAAGCCAATTATGGTTACAAGCATGTAATATATAATCTTATTGTCAAGGAATAATCATAAAAAGTTGGTTTGTTCATGTGTGTGTATTAAACAGAATAAATATGTGTGTGTCTGTTGGGGTGATTTTCATGTCCCAACATAATATGCCTGCAAATACATTTGGTTTTGTAACTAATCTACCTGGGATATAGGCAAAGTAGAATATGGTTTTAATATACATATTCTGCATAGAGACTCCAACATTCCAGGGAAGCTAGATTATCCAGAAATCCATAAAGCAAAACAAACTCACTGCCATCAAGTCGATTCCAACTCATAGTGAGTCTCTTTGAGTTTCTGAGGTGGTAAATCTTTACGGAAGTAGATTGCCCAGTCTTCTTTCTGCAGAATGGTTGGTGGGTTTGAACCACCAACCTTCTCGTTAGGAGTCAAATGTCTTAGGCACTATGCCAGCAGAACTCCTTAGACTTACATAAAGACTTGAATTAGTCCCTTAAACTCTTGGCTTTAAAAACAAACATTCCAAAAAATGCAAAAGAGACACCTGCTACCATACAAAGAATCAGGTGTTTTTACAGGGGCAATTAGGTAAAAGGCATTTCTGGGAACCAGTGATAACAATCTCAGTGCAGCCCAAAGAGAATGGGCGGATGATCCCAGGAATGCAGATTGTCAAGGTCAAAGAGGAAGAGAAACGATTTGAGCATTGAGCACAGATCTGTATTATTTTGCTCCCATGAACTGGCATGCTACCATGGGAGATCATAATAAAACACTTAATGTTAACAAGCTTGGTCCTGACATTCTGGAAAACTCCTGTCACTTGGGGGAATTGGTGCCTCTAGTCAACTTATTCCTTTGGAAATTTCACTTTGTAAGTGGCAAAGGATTTTAATATCCACATGCACTTACACACACACGCAAACAAATATGATTAATAATACCACTTCAATTAAAATTTTCGAACTATTTGGTTTTCCTAATTATGAAAAAAGTAGGTTTTCTCTGGCCAAAAAGGGAATTGTTTGCTCCACAGAAGTCAGTATCAGTTTCTCTTTAGAGAGCTTTGCATATTCATGGTACTGTCCTGATAGAAATAGTTTAGTAAATGAAGTCATGGAAACTTATAAAGTGGTTATGGCAGGTCTCTTCACATATATTATATTCCAATCTGTCTAAAGTAACTGATTTATTTGGTTTCCAGAAGCATTCTGATCAACATTAACAGCTAAGTTGCTTTATAAAGCTGTAACACTTTCTGAATTAAACTGTATTTACATGTGGGAAATGAAATGAACCTTTAAAGAAGTTCCTGACCCTATTCAAATCTAAGGTTGGTGTTGGTAGAGGAAGAGTTTAAAGCACAGCAGAAAAAGAGAAAGGAAAGCACTGAAGGCCAGACGGAAGACCAGGCGTGCGGCACTCTCCCCAGCCCCACAGCCTGGATTCCAGTTCCTTGTCTACGGCCAGTTCCATGTGAGAATCTGAAACAGATTTTCTTCATTTCTGAATGATTAAACAATAAAAGAAAACTGAAGTGCTTCAAAGCAACATTAGCGTTAGAAAACAGTTTTCACATCTTATTGTGTAAAAACCATAAATAAATAAATAACACTAGGATCAAAGGGTGGTGAGAGTGAGACTTCCTGTATTTTAATAGCATAGGGTTTGCCAAACCCAGATAACAACTCTTTTATAGAAGAAAGAATTAAACAGTTGAAAGGTTTTCTTTTCCTAGATTTTCATCACTATTCACTCTGAATGTTCTTTTTTCAGGCTAACAGAAGAGGTTTCCTTTTTCTTGGTTCTGCTCACTTTAAAATCACTTCCTAATACTGATGAGCTTCATACCTGATTTTGTGTGTCAATATGTCAGGGCACATAGATAAGAAACAAATAGTTTTATAAAAAGCAGGCTTTATAGTACGTACTCCTTCTGTCTTGTGACTCAAGCCAAAAATTCATAGGGAATATTATTAACTTATGGATAACACAGGGATTATGTAGCTTCAAAAGACCTACATGTCTCTTCAGGATTCAGCTCATAATCAAAGCGGAAAGTCAGGGCACATCCCCGCTCTGTCACTTGATAAGGGAAAAAACTCTCAAACAGGTCCACCCCTCTTTCAATACACTCAAGCACCTCATCTGGCCGGCTAACACCACAGATGAGCCTGTGAAAATAAAAGTAAGAACAGAGACATGAGAACAATGGCAAGAATGAAATGAGTCTTTGTAAAGAACAGAGCACTACAAGTGGTAATAATGAAAAACACCACTCACGGTTACAATGGCAGGCAGCAGAGAGCCAGGTGTGGTGGAAAGAACATAAGACTTCGCAAGCAGAGAGCTGGGCTTAAATTCTAGCTCTGCTATTTACTTGCTTTGTTACTTTGGGAAGGCTTTTGACCTCTTTGAGCCTCAGTTTTTTCATTTTAAAATCAAGAACATTAATATATACCTCACAAAACTGTTGTGAGGAATAATGAGATGATGTTTGAAAGAGCACACTATATAGTTTTCTGGCACCAAAGAGAGAAGCTCAATAAAGGTAAGTTCCCTTTCTACTCCCATCCCTTCTAAACAATCTAGCTAGTCTTAGATTAAACTTTATATGCACTTCATATACACTACCTAGAGTTTTCAGAGTACAAAGTTGTATGTTTATTTCCTTAAGTGCTTTCCATGTTTTGTCATTTTTTCTTTCCTTTTTTTTTTCTTTTTTTTTAAATAACTGGTTCAAGAAAGATATTTTTATCTACTGTATTCCTCATAGGTTCATTTACAAAGCAATTCTTAATCTGAAAATGTCAACTCTGGCCATAGGATCTTAGAATCTAATTGGATTTCTTTGTGCTTCTTTATATTGCCTCTGTTAATACAAAGTTTGCACTGTGGAATTAGATGGTACTTTCAGAGATAATGGATAAGGTATTCTGAAAGTGTTAAAAATATTCAACCAGGTTTTGCCACTAAATCAAGATGAGAGGTGCAATAGATCAGAGCTGGCTGGCTGCTATTATTTTCTGTTTTTGTTTTTCTGTCAGTAGCCCCTCTTTACGAAGTGGCAGAAGACAGCTTATAGACTCCCTGATTCCTAAAAGGGCTTTTTTTTTATTTAAAAAAGAAAAAGAAAAGAAAAGGCTTATGTAATATTAAACAATCAGAACCCTTAAATAAATGCTGGTTTTCTTAACTATAGTTTCCTTCAAGTAATGCAATGTTTCAGAACTCCTTTCCAACTGAAGCTGGCATTTCTATACATGCATATAAAGAAAAAACAATCCCAGCTTTTCAATCCAGTAACAGACATCTGTGAGCACTTAACTCAAAGAAGTCCAGAAAATGACTAGCAATACTAATGCTAAGTTGTTATCTTTGCCAGAATGAAATAAGCACAGGATGCAGGGCAATGAAAACAAGAACTAAGTTAAAGTTGGAGGGGCACATGCTGGCTAGAGTGTCAGGAATGTTCAATATCGTGATCTGGGTGGTGTTTACTCAAATATATACATGTGTAAAAGTTCAAGTGAGCTGTACATTAGATGTTTGCACCGTACCATACACTAAACTTCACTTTTTTTTTTTACAGAAATCAAATTACATAAACTGTATATGATACAACACCCCTGGAGGAGTCTAAAGCAGCACTCCAAAATCAAGGCTCTTAACTTTTCTGCAAGAAAAAATCATGTGTATTCACACTAAGTGGAATACAAGATTTTAAATAGTCTTTTTTAAAATTTTAAAACGGATTAGGCTATTAAGACATCAGCCACACTCAGATACTCTGAATTTGCAGCTTTATAGATGATCCTTTCTCACCAGCACAAAGTGAATTCTGAGATTTATGAAAACATAAGAATCAAATCCACCAGTGTTACCAACACCTTGATTTAAAAAAAAAAAAAAAAAAAGGCACTATTTGCTACCTGCCTCAAATCTAAGAGTTTCTATAGTTCCTTATTAAAAGAGCCCCCCTTCATTCCAACCAGTCATCCCATATCTATCTTCAACTTGCCTTGAGTTAAATCAGAGTTCCACACAACTCCATACTTGTCCCCAGGCACCAAATTATAATGAGTAAAAAACAGTATTCACATTTGGTCAAGAATGAGAAGAAATAGTGTAACACTTTCTCTCACTTATAAACACACACACAAAAAAACCAAACCCACTGTCATCAAGTCCATTCCTACTCACAGTGACCCCCACTGGGTTTCCAAGGCTGTAAATCTTTATAGAAATAGATTGCATCATCTTTCTCCCAGGGAGCAGTTGGTGGGTTTGAACCACTGACCTTCTGGTTAGCAGCCAAATGTCTTAACCACTATGCCACCAGAGCTCCTTATAATGAGGATCAAATGAAATAATTCACATGGCAATTGTCCTCTGGTCTATATTCTGAAATCAAGAGCAAGATAGTCTTGATGCTAACTCCCCTCACAATCTGCCAGCCGACTCAGCCCGGAAAGCTCCTAATCAAAAGATGGAAAAATATGCCTATAGACAGACAGCACAGCACACTCAGTCAACAAGCACCCCTGCCCAGCATCCCGCATGGCTTAGCCTGCTGCATCTTAACTGAACACTGGCCTGGGTTTATCCTCCGGCAGCTCTGCAGTGACTGATGACAGCAAGTGCAGTCCAGTCTCCAGCGTCATCAGATTCCCCTGAAAGCCATCCAGAAGGAAGCCACCTACAGGCCGCTTGGCTGTCTCTCTTGCTGACCTCAGCCTCTCCTCCATCACATCTCCACCTTCAATCACTCCAATGATCACACTTTTCTGAAGGACCTAAAGTAAGAAAAGATGGAAAGTTATTAACCATTTACAGTATCAGAGTCCCATGTTTAAATGAACCTTACATGGAAGTCCAATGGATAGAAGCAATCTCATCAGAGCTGCTGCAGATGAGCAAGCTAGGGAGATGCTTCCCACTGTTCTCCTCCTTGAGAAGCTTTGGGACTCCAAGGAACACAATTTGAAAGCCACTAGAACCGGCAGGAAAGACTGAAGGAAAACAGAGGCAATAAACATAGGTAGTTATGTTCTAGCTTAGATTATACTAAACACACTGAGCAAGTATTATTAGAAAAGAACAAAAGGAATGGATTCAATTTGTTTAAATGACTATCCAGGCCTGCTTTAGGCTACCTCTAAATCTATTGGTTAGGGATAACTTTAGGAGCTTAGAAACTGATTGGTTGGGACAAATGGCTATCCATTTGGAAAATAAAATAAAATAAAGACCTCTACTGTCTACCATCCTCAGGAATAAATTCCAGCTGTACCTAAGATCTACATATAAAAAAAGGTATAGTTATATAAATATTAGAAGAATATACTGAATATTTTTATAATCTTGGGGGAAGGAAGGCCTTTCTAGGCAAGCAGGCCTTATAAGAAAAGACTAACATATTTGAATACAAAAACATTAAAATTTCTCTGGTGAAATAGGCCAGCAACAAAGACAAAAGACAACTTACTCTTTGGAGTAAATTCACATTACTCCAGATCAAGATATGTGAATGCCTTATACACATAGGGAGAATTATTAAACCTCACTGGTAGGGAAATGCAAATTGGAAAAAAATAGATACCATTTTTGTCCATCACACAGGCAAAGTTAAAAGACAGGTAGCAACACACTGTGGAGGTGAGTAAAAATCAGTTCAGCCTCTTGGGAGGTCTAATAAGCAACATTTATCAAAATTATCAATGCTTTTATGTTTCGATCTTAAAATTCCACTTTTAAGAATCTCTCCTACAAATATATTCATCCATATTATGCCAGCATGAGAGATAGTCAAGCAGCATCAAGAATATTTACAAAGGTGTTTATTTTTAGAATAGTGAAAATTGGAAACAACCTAAACATCTATCCACAGAGTAATGACTGTAGCTTCCTATATAGCTGTTTTGAAAAGAATGTAATATATATGTCACCACAGAAAGTTTCAAGATACTGTTCAATGAAAAAGAAGCAAATTGCTGAACATATGATTATATTCATGCAATAAAAACCATATACAAGCACGTATGTATAGGTATTAATTTTTGGATCCAACTCAACAGCAGTGAGTTTGGTCTTTTGGTTTTTTAATTGTAAAAAATAAAGCTTCCAAGGAAATATACAAGTCCACAGCAGCTCAGTGGAAGACAGAAGTGAAGGCAGAGTGTGGAGTGCTGTGCAGAGGGCACTTCACTTCTTAATGTAAACAGGGGACACAATCAGATCATTCCTCTAGAAGGACACTTTGGCTATTGTGTGGAGAATGGGTTAAACATAAGTATAGGTAAAAGATGGGGTAGGAAGCTACATTAATAATCCAAGAAATACTAAGAAGACCTGGACTATGGCAGTGACAGGGATGAAGAGGAAGAACAGGATTTGAAATATCTTTAGGAGGTAAACTCAACACAACTTGACTGATTATTTGTCTGAGGAGAGGATGATGACAGAGTCTAGGATGACTCCTGGCTCCTGTTTTAGAAGTCCAAGGTATTAAGAGCAAAGAGAGAGAGTCTTAGAAAAACAGTAGAAGGTATAGCAAGAAAATTATTCTGTCTTGGACATTCTGAATTTAAGGTACCAGTGAAACGTACCAAGAGTGATTTTGTTGGATCACTGAATATATGGGCCTAAGGTTATGGATATATGTGAGTCAAATGAGATTGCCTAGGGCCAGAATGGCAGACACTTGGCACAAATGGCTGCCACTGCCATGACAGACAAGGCAACAGATGACTCTCTTCCCTGCTGCATTAAGCAATGGCTCCAAGCACCTTGGGATGAAACTATTTATTTACCACCTCTGGTCTAGCAATGTACAGAGTAAGAAAAAAAGAAAACCAATGACAAAACCTTGACAGCTTCAATATTTAAGGGCATTAAGAACAAAATGATCCAATGAATAAGACAGAAGGAATCATGAGAAAAGGAAAAGATATATGCAGATATACAAAGCAAGCAGTCACAAAGGCTTGCCCTTTTATATGCCTGTTGTTGTTATGTGCCATCAAATCGGACCCAACTCATAGCAACCCCTCCTTGGGTTTCCGAGGCAGTATCACTATGGAAGTAGATTGCCCTATCTTCCTTCCGAGGAGTAGCTGGTGGGTTTGAACCAACAGCCTTCTGGTTTGCAGTCAAGTGCCTTAGGCACTATGCTACCATGCCTATCATAGCCTAATTTAGGAACTCTTTCTTATGGAAAGATGTAAGAAATGGGATTACATAATTTATTGTCCAGAACAGAACACTTTTAAGAGGAAAAAGGGGCATTATTGACAAGTATGTCAAGACAACAGTATAAGCCCTAGTCATAAGAGTACAGAGAGGAACCCTAGCATACAACCAACAATGTGAAATGGTGAGGCTAACAGTAATGACAGAGAAAGGGGACTCACTCTGGCCTTTTTAATGATCATGTTCTGGCACACTGTCTGTCCTCCTTTCTACCCATGCAACATTACTCAAAACAACTGCTAGCGAGCTGACTCTAACTATTCAGACCCAAAGTGATGTCCCTACACTGAACTCCTACTGAAGAAACAGCTCTACTCAGAATAGCTAAAAAAAAATTCAGAATAGCAACAGCAAAAAAACAGTTGCTATCAAGTCAATTATGAATCATAGTAATCTCATGTCTAACAAAGTACAACTGCTCTTTAGGGTTTTCTTGGCTGTAATATTTATGGAAGTAGACTGCCAGGCCTTTCTTCCGTGGTGCCAATGGGTGTGTCTGAATGCCAACCTTTAAGTTAGTAGTCAGGAGCTCTGGTGGCGTAGTGTCTAAAGCATCTGACTGCTAACCAGAAGGCTCACAGTTCAAACCCACCAACCACTCCTCGGAAGGAAAGTTGGACAATCTATTTCTATAGTGATACTGCCTCAGAAACCCAAGGAGGGGTTACTATGAGTTGGATCTGACTCAATGTCAGTGTGTTGCGTTGCACTGTGTTAGGTTAGGTTAGTAGTCAAGCACAAACCGTTTGTGCCACCCAGAAGTCTTTGAATTATTTTATGTATATTAACTTTACTAGCCAAATTAGATTTTTATTGGTAAATTCAATATAACAATTTTCCTCAAACCCAAAGTGCTTTTCCATAAGCAGGATCTGAACATTGCACAGTATTACTCCAACTAAGTGATCTTAGACTATCAAATTCTCCTCCCTGATCACTATCTCCCATTCTCCCACCTCCTCTACTCTCTCCTAATAAATACATCATTTTTCTACTTCATTAACTCTGCCACCAGGATCCTTTAATTACTGTTTCAATTTCATCTTCCCCACCCCATCATAACCATTCACCATCAGCAAAACTGCACTGAGGGCTTACTATTTGTCAGACATTGTGCTATGTGATGGGGATACAAAAGTGACACACTGAAACTGAACTTAAGGAGGTCACAGTTTAAGAAAGACAAATACATAAAGAAATCATTTCAGTTCAATATGATTAAAGCGATAGCAAAGAACAAAGAGAATTACTCTCCTGGAAAAAAGTCAGGGTCAGCTTCATAGTGGAATGGCATGTGCTAGAGATAAGAAGAAAGAGTCCAGAAGGAAGTCTGTATATAGGGACAGTAGAGAGAAACAGGGAACTTAGGGAACTGTAAGTAACTCAGCACGGAAAGAAAACCCACAGTGAAGTGAAGGAAGAAGCAGAGGCCACGTCACAGTAGGTCATTCATGCCATGTAAGAAATGAAGCAGAACTCATTAAATTCTTTTCATAAAGTGGGGTGTTGTTAACCTCCATTGAGTTGCTGACTCAGGATGACCCCATGCCACAGGAATGAACCACTGTGATCCATAGGGTTTTCATAGGAAGTGTTAGGCCTTTCTTCCTAGTCCATCTTAGTCTGGAAGCTCCGTTGAAACCTGTTCATCATCACAGCAAAATACAAGCCTCCACTGACAGAAGGGTGGCAGTTGTGCACGGGGCACTGGCCAGAACTGAAGTGGGGTCTCCTGCACGGAAGGCAACTATTCTACCATCGACCTACTACTGCCCTCAGCATAGAGCCTCAAACCAAGCCATACTCACTGCCACTGAGTCAATACCAACTCACAGTGACCCACTTGGGGTTTCTTAGGCAGTACATTTTTATAGAAGTAGATTGCCCCCTCTTCCTTCCATTGAGTGGCTGGTGGATTTGAAGCGCCAACCTTCTAGTTAGCAGTCAAACGCCTTACGCACTGCTACTTATGTTTCAAGGAGAAAAAAAAAAATTTTTTTTGGTCTAAATGAAACTAGGGAGCTCTGGTAGCATAGTGCCTAAGGCATTTGACTGCTAACCAGAAGGCTGGTGGTTCAAACCCACCAGCCACTCCTCGGAAGGAAGGTTGGGCAATCCTACTTCCGTAGTGATACTGCCTCGGAAACCCAAGGAAGGGTCGCTATGAGTCGGGGCCGACTCGACGGCATATAACAACAACAACAACAAATGAAACTAAGGAGTGAGAAGCAAAGAAGTATCAGGAAGAACAGAAAAATGTAGTGTCAAGGGATGCAAAAGATCAGAGAGTTTCAGAGAGAAAGGAGTGGTCAGCAACGTGGCCATACCTCTGATTTCTCCTGCAGCCGCAGGCAATTATCCAGGAATAGCAGTGATCGGTCAACAGACTTTCTGGCTCTTTTGATGGAAGTTACTTCTGCACAAGACGCCTCTCCATCTGAGAGACATTGGAACCAATCTGGCTGGAGTGCCTGCTGAATTGCCATGAATTTGGAAGCAGTCATTTCCACTCGTCCTCCAAGACCCCACACAGACACAGACTGCCATGGAACAAAATGACCAGTAGTTAGCAATAGTAAATTACAAGGAAAAATAATAATAATAATAAAGAAATAATGAATTCTTCTTTACAATTAGAGAGACAATGGCAATTCAATATCCTAGATATGGTGGATAAAAAAAGAGGTTTGCTATACTAAAGAGCTCTGGTAGCACAGTGCCTAAGGCATTTGACTGCTAGCCAGAAATGAACTAGATTCCAAATGTTCTAGGGACCTTATAACCCATAAAAAATCCTTTAATGGCCATACAAGCTAACTTCTCTGCTCACCCCCAACAAATTCTGCCATCCTTTTTCAGTCCAGCCTTCCAGTCTCCAATTTCCTCACCTGGCTACCTTGCTGTTCCTATGTACACCACAGACATTAATTCTTCCCTGTCTTTGATCACATTCTTCCTTTTGATTGAAATGTCCTTTCCCGACTTCTTTGCTTGGTAAAATACCATGCATCTCCCAAGACACAGAGTTCAAATATCATCTACTCTGACATGTTCCCCAAACCAACCTAGGCATAAACGATCACTCTCTCCTCTAAGCAACTACAGCAATTTTTACTTATTTCTTTTATAGATAGGATAGCACTTATCACACCACTGTACACTTGTCTGACCAGAGTGTCCCAATTCACATCTGTGTCCCAAAGCAGTGTCAAGGGCCTCACATATTATTAATCTTTAATAAATGTTTATTAGAATGTATTAGATACAGAATTACGTATATAAAGTTCCTTCTTTGCCCCACAGCATCCCTCATCATGTAGAGAGGTCAACAAGGACACAAATGGAGAGGCTGCATGAAGTTCTTTCAGTGTTCTAATGTTTAAGAACACTGCTTAAATGAATCTTCTCTCCCATACAAATAGGGTAGATAATTGAGGTAAAAGTATTTTCTTTGGAATTCAGACTATAAAATAAAAAGAAATAAAGTTAGAATAGAATAATTTCAAATAGTTATCATAGGTAAGATTAATAGATACTGTTTGACATCAATAACATGAGTGCAAGGAAAGCAAATGTGTCAGCAAAGTGGCAGTACACACTATAGCCCCACCACAATGCTGTCTTCAAGGACTATGATAATGATGAAAACTTTTAGTGAAGTCTTTTGACACTGTTTGTGACCAGCTAAAACCTCTTGCTGTGGATCCAGCTTTTTCAAATTTTGTTCTGAAAGCCAGCAGTATTACAGTGAGGTTCTACTATATATAGTTATGCATGGGATAACACTCATCAGCAACTTTCCCCACTCTTCCTGAGGCTGTTAAATCTGCAAATAAAAGTATGCCATTGAAGGACTATTGTTTTCTCTCATCACAGCGATTTCTTTTTTGGCATATGCTTGACCCTCCCCCTCCCCAAAGTTTCTGCCACAACAAAAAAGCTGAGGATACATTCTTTACCTTAACCTCATCTTTAAGCAAAACCTTCTGTAACCCCAATAAACCACTCCATTCCACCATATTCTTAGAAATAAAGAGAAGACATAAAGGGGTCAGAAATAAGCTAGCCTCCTCCACAGTGGGATCATAGCATCTGTGGGACATAATAGGCTAATTTCCTGTGGCAAAGCTGCAGTCCTGGAGGCCATGCTGAGAACATACCTTGTTTGTTACATAACCAGCTGGGCAGGGGTTGACTGGATCATGCAAGGAGCAGTACAAGAGTGACTCTGACATGCCTGTTCAAACATAAAAAGGACCTTTCAGAGAGCTTACATCAACAATTACACCACTGTAACAGAACATATTCACAACGAGTACTGCCAGATAAAGCAACTCTAAACCCAAGTACCTTGTCTTAGAATTATAGAAGGCCTGTCAAAATGAGCCAAGATTACTTGGAAACTTACTATCTAAAAGAAGAATTAAATGTAAAGGTTCATGTCTAACAACATAGTGAGTTGCTACAAAGGAAAGATAAATCTTAAAGCATAAAATAAAATAGTGTTTAATAACATGTTGACCACACTCGATGTACTCTGGAGAATTTATTATCAAGTATGTTCATTTTGGAGTCCCTGAATAGAGTAACTGGTTAAGACTCTCAGCTGCTAACCAAAAGGTTGAGGTTTCAGTCTTCTCACAGGCACTTTGGAAGATAGGCCTGGCAATCTACTTCTGAAAAATCAGCCATTGAAAACCTTGTGGAGTACAGTTCCACAGACACACATGGGCTCACCATGACCTGAAGTTGACTTGATAACAACTGACTGGAGCTATGGAAAGGGTGAGTGATATTGCTGGGAGAGTGTAGAAAGAGATGGGTGATGAGGCAAGTGGGAGAGGACTCAGAGAAGGAAAGGTTGGAGGCTACTGACCAGCAAGAGAGGCTAGAGCAAGTGCAGTGAATTCAGATACTCTTAGGTGGTAAGTTCATTCTAAGTACCATCCAAGGGGAAATAGCACCTGAAAAGATGAAATGATACAGTCAAAAGGTAACATCACATATACAATAAAGCCATCCTGGGGAATGTAATTATAGGTATTAAATTGTACATATAAAAATGGTTAATATGGCACATTTTATGAGCTCTGGTAGCATAGTGCCTAAGGCACTTGACTGCTAACCAGAAGGCTGGCGGTTCAAACCCA